ATGACTGGATGATAGGTAGGTAGGTAGGTAGGTAGGTAGGTAGATAGATAGATAGATAGATAGATAGATAGATAGATAGATATGGATGGATAGATAGATATGGATGGATAGATTAGATAGATAGATAGATAGATAGATAGATAGATAGATAGATATGGATGGATAGATTAGATAGATAGATAGATAGATAGATAGATAGATAGATGAATGGATAGATAGATAGATAGAGATGGATGGATATATAGATAGATATGGATGGATAGATAGATTAGATAGATAGATAGATAGATAGATAGATAGATAGATAGATAGATAGATAGATAGATAGATAGATGATGGATGGATGGATGGATGGATGGATGGATGGATAGATAGATAGATAGATATGGATGGATAGATATATATGGATGGATAGATAGATTAGATAGATAGATGGATGGATGGATGGATGGATGGATGGATAGATAGATAGATAGATAGATAGATAGATAGATAGATAGAGCACAGATAGATTGTGGACCATATAGATAGATTTCCTCCATGATGATTCTATGCAGGAGAAATATTGGAAATCAAGTTGTATGTTACTTTCTATAGGGCAGAGGAGAATTATAGATAGTCCACAACTTACAACTGTAGTGGAGCCTGCCCATCATGATTCTGATGGTCATAAAACGGGGTAGTCATGTGACTGGACTGATTTTACAACCTTTTCTGCAGTGCTCCATAAGTGAATCACTGGAGTTCTTAAGACAAGGGTGAGTGGCCCAAAATAACCCAACCAGTTGATTGGCTTCATGCCTAAGGTGGGACTAGAACGCACAGCCTCCAGATGATTGGTCCAGACTCCAAAGACACACAGCTGGCTTTCATGCCTAAAGTGGGACTAGAACTCATTGTCTCCTAGTAACTGGCTCAAAGTCACCTTGCTTAGGGCAAGTCTAGAACTCACAGCCTCCTGATTTTTAGTCCAGCACTTTCAGCAAAAGAACTCTATATTCTCTCTCTCTCTTTCCCTCCCTCCCTCCCTCCCTCCCCACCTCTCTCTTTCTCCAAATCTAATCCTTCTCTCTATGATGGAGATCTCCAACTCCTGGCTCCTGGCACATTATAATTTAGTTCTTGAGGGATATTTTAAGGCTGTAATTTAGGGATTGGGGTTTTAGAGTTGGGCAAAGCACACAAACAGATCTCCCTTCCCCCTTTCTTCTTCTCTTTCTCTTTTTCATCCTCCCCCCCACACCCCCATCTCTTCTCTCTGTACCAGTCTATGGATGGGAAAAGTCCAATATTTCTCTATTTTATTTAGGTATAAGATTTCAACCACCCAGCTCCATAAGGCTTACCATATTAATAGGCATAAAACAGGAAAGCATTTTTAAAAAATTTCATTCAATCATGTCTGATTTATTTTTTTTAAGTTTATTTATTTGTTATATTTAAATGCTGCCTGCCCCATTCCGATAATTCATTCTGGGCAGGCTAAGATTCTGGTTCCCAGAGACTGCTTGGAGAAACCACTGCAATTTTCTTTGCAAGTTTTTTCAGAAGTAGTTTGGCATTGCCTCCTTCCTGGGGCTGAGAGGAAGTGACTGGCCCAAGATCATCCAGCAGCTTTTCATGCCTAAAGCATGACTAAAACTCTTCATCTCTTGGTGGTTGACCCAAAATCACCCAGTTGGCATTCATGCCTAAGACATGACTAGAACTCACTATCTCTTGGTGGTTGACCCAAAATCACCCAGTT